TCAACAGGATGGCCTGCAGGTGTGGATGATTTGGGTCCGGGCTGCAGAAGTGCTGTATTCTCACAGGTATTGTGAAGAGGAATATGTAATACACCAGATCCAACAGTTCAGAAGAGCTGAAGGCCACTATCAGAGCAACCTGGGCTCTTATAACACCTGAGCAGTGCCACAGACTGATCGACTCCATGTCACGCCATTTTGCTGCAGCAATCCAGGCAAAAGGAGCCCCAAGTACTGAGTGCTGTACATGCTCATAGTTTTCAGTTGGCCAACATTTCAAAAAATCATTTTTTTTATTGGTCTTAAGTTATATTCTAATTTTCTGAGATACTGAGTTTGGGGTTCTCATTAGTTGTCAGTTATAATCATCGACATTAAAATAAATAAACATTTGAAATATATCAGTCTGTGTGTAATGAATGAATATAATATACAATTTTAACTTTTTGAATGGAATTACTGAAATAAATGAACTTTTTCATGATATTCTAATTTTCTGACCAGCACCTGTAGTGAGTAAACATAGAGAAGAAGAAGAAAACAAAAGAAAGTGTTTGATGTGGGCTCACACCTGTGCACTGGGCCTCATCTGACCAGTCACCACAGTCGTTCTCACCATCACACTTCCACCACGTTGGGATGCAGCGCCCATTTCTGCATTCATACTGGAAATATCTGGAGCAGCCTGGGACCTCAGTGGGAGCAGCTGCAGTGTGGAAGAGGAAGCATTTCAGATGAGGCTCAATGGGATTTACCTGTCTAAATAAAGGTTGAATGAGAAGATAAAGTTAGCACCTGAGTGAAGTTGCCCCCCACCTTCTTCAGATCTAATGAAATTGGTGTCAAACGTTTGTGCTACGTTTGTGCAGCAAACATTTTCATTTGTGCCGCTATCATTTTAAAGATATTAATAAAAATGTTTCCAGGGGTCATCAAAGGTCAACAAAAATCTGTTCATGTTGGAACTGTGAATTTCATTTAAAAATACTTAGGTTCTGAACTATAAACATGAATAGATTCATTTGAACATGGATTACATTCATTTTGAACTAGGTCTTATTTAGGATGAACTGGTACAACACTTCCAAAAAACAAACCCAATGGCCTGTATTTTGGTTTCTGATCACCAGGGGGTGCTATAAACACACTGTACTTTGGTATTTTTGGACCTCTGGAGATGTTTATTAATATCTTTAAAATTACAGCTGCACAAACTGAAATTTTTGCTGCACAAATGCACACAAACGAATGACATCAATTTTGTTAGATTTGAAGACGGTGCGTGTGCGTGTGTGGGGGGGGGGGACAACTTCACTCAGGTAAAGTGAGCTAGTAAACAAGATACCATGACCTTTAATTTATTCCACTTCCTGCATTTGTTTTACATGGTTTCAACAATGTGTGTGTGTGTGTGTGCACGCAAGCATTGATTAGTTTTCTGAAGGTCCTTCCTACTCACCACAGTTGGCTTCATCAGAGTAATCCCCACAGTCATCCATGCCGTCACATTTCCACTCCAGGCTCACACACACTCCATTGGCACACTGGAAGGTGTAGGCGTCGCACACTTTGCCAAATTCAGATGGCGTGGCTGACAGGAAATACACAAGGAGATTACTGCCCCACCTTTCTTTTCTTTATGTTTAATTCAGGAACAATATATCTGCAGTTAAGTAACACGTATCAGGGATTTTCATTCACCTAAAACACATAAACCTCAATTAGTAAAAGCCTCAAAGCTTTGATTTTTATGAATATTCTCGTAGTTAAAAATTAACATTATATTTTATAATAACATAGCTGTTTATAGCATCTTTTGAAATGTAATTTAAAATCAAGAGAGGTCCAATTTTGTGAGGAGTTATAACTAACAGTCTTTATGAAGTTGAACTAAGTAAGGTTCAATATTTGGTTTGTAGTAGTAAAAGTTATGGTGTCAAAACTATTTTTTGTCATGAAGTTTCTGGTTTGAGTGACTTTAATGCTGAGGGGTTTTTTTCTCTCAGGTTGTATGACGTGTAGAGTAAGCCCCCATGACACCCCACCAACATGCCTGTTTCTGTGAGCAGTCAGTTAGCTCTTTATGATGGCTAAGATAAAATTTTTTTTTTTGCTACATAAAAAAACATGTCAGCTGTCACAGACAGTCATGGTTTGTCTACCTGAGGAGCCATACCTGGAACTTCACATCGACATCATTACAGTTATTTGGAAGAATTTTAAGGTTAACTGCCTTTATGTCAGAGTTGTGAGGGTGTATTCATACCCCTTGTTTGTGTGTGTGTGTGTGTGTGTGGGGGGGGGGGGGGGGTGCATGTGTGTAAATAAAATAACTATAAATATTATATTATAATGAACCAACTCTCGGTTGGTGTATAATCGCCAGATGCTTTTTAAATCATCAACCCTGTTTTGATAACTTGTCCGTTTGTCCAAGAAAGCCAGAAAAGTTTTTGCCTTCCATTTCTATTTGATATACCGGCTCTCGTGTGCCACGCTCCTGCTCCACCAGTGCACAGAGAGTGCTGACGCTGGTGACGCTGGTGAGACTGAAAACCTATTTGGCATGCTCTCCGGATGCTCTTTCTGAAGGCTTTGGGACTGTATATAATAGCTTTGTCCTGTGATGCTCTCTGGATCCTATCAGCTCATCTCTGGTTCCTGTGGTCAGCCTGGATGAGGG